AAGAGGTTCTATTTCAACTGTCAAAAGTAAAGACAAATAAGTCAATGGGACCTGATGGAATACACCCAAAGCTATTAAAAGAGCTTAGTGTGGGGATATTTATGGGATAATAATAGTAACAGTGAGAATTGCCCACTAATTCAATTCTCAGATCCCAAAGGTTGTTATCGTGTTAAGTGAGAAGTATTTCATATAAATAATGTCACAATTTTGTTATAAAAATAGATTTATTTATAATAACCAATTAATTAATAATAATATGTAACATGCGTGACAATAATCAATGAATATCCAGTATAAAATGGTATGCAATACAAAGGAATGGCTATACACATTTCAATGGCTAAACAGCATTTTCTGTCAAGTCTTCTGATTTATGAGGTATCTTTAACACAGACTGAAAGTGAAACTTTTCACAGCGAAGGGCCATAAAACCCTGGCTAACAGTTAGAATAACCCTTTCAATGCTGGCTAGATCTCCTAGATAGTTAAGATCTATTCTTATGTAATTTTAAATAAAACAACATTTAAACCAGTTCATTAGTCATTTCCTGGAACCATCCAATAAGAGAATCTACCATATTATATAAGCAGAGTTTAATTTGTCTAAAAGATATCCATCTTATATTAGAGCAAATCAATACACCTGGATAAAAACAGCGGTATGCTAACACGTGATACTATCACCTTAATATATAATTATTCTTAATTCCACCTGCAGAATGGAATGTTTATAACTATATATTCTTTAGTTAACTAAGATTTCTTAATATGGAAATCTGACTGTGCTTTATCCAGTCATATATAATACTATTAGTAAATTTTAATTAATTTAATTAATTAAATGAAACCAGTATAATTACCAGTTGAGTAGATATTTCATCCGATTGGTAGATAGTCTCAGGAGCTTATTTGGATGTCTGTAGGTTCATGAGTTATGGTGAAAGGTGGTGTTGGTTAGAAAGTCAGTAAGATTCTAAGTGTTAGAGTTTTAGGAGTAGAGTGTTAGTCTCAGATGTTGTCCTGGGTTTCTCTGCATGTCCGAGTTGGAGTCCCCAAACTTCCAATTCCTCTCTCTCTTATTCCTCTCTTTGCATACCCCCTATCTTCCCTTTGTCCTAACTTTTAAAGGGCCAGACTCTCTGTACGTCATAAGTTGATAACCCAATAGACGCACTAGAGGTGTGGTTATCTTCCAGATCGCAATTTAGTTATTTGATCTATAGAGGGCAGTCTTGTCCCACTAAACATACCTATCCAGGAAATAGTTAACTTTTCCTGGTGGCTATTTTTACGTCATTTTGGCCTTATCTTTATAGTGCCATAACTCAGATTTTCTGTCAGATAAAAACAGTTTCTTTAAGTTTTGTCCAGACTATGTGTCTGGTAAATCTGAGTTTTGACCCATAACTTACAATGGGACCTTATACATATAGACAGTCTATCCAACCCCCGTTCTTCTTATCACTTGGTTTGTATATACTATACATTCCTTTAGCTCTGGCAAAGTGGTTAGTTTTACAGAAAGAAATCTTGTGTCTTTTTGTTAACTTGAAAATAACAAAATGGAGTCTGGTCTGTTCAGAGTGACTCAGAATATACACTTTTAGTTTCTATCATAGCACAAGATGTCTGCCGATATAAATACCCTGACATTAGTGGTGTACTAGCAAAACCATTAACAGATTTATTTAACCAATCATTGTTAACAGGAGTAGTCCCAGAAGATTGGAAGTTAGCGAATGTTGTGCCCATTTACAAGAAAGGTAATAGGGAGGAGTCAGGCAACTATAGGCCAGTAAGCCTTACTTCAGTAGTGGGAAAAGTGATGGAAACCATGTTAAAGGATAGGATTGTTGAACATCTAAAAACACATGGATTTCAAGATCAGAGACAACATGGGTTTACTTAAGGGAGATCATGCCAATCTAATCTTATTGATTTTTTTGATTGGGTAACTAAAATTATAGATCAGGGTGGTGCAGTAGACATTGCTTACCTAGATTTCAGTAAGGCTTTTGACACTGTTGCACATAGAAGGTTTATCAATAAACTGCAATCTTTAAGTTTGGATTCCAATATTGTTGAATGGGTAAGGCAGTGGCTGAGTGGCAGGCAACAGAGGGTTGTAGTTAATGGAATATATTCGAAGCTTGGACTTGTCACCAGTGGGGTACCTCAGGGATCTGTACTTGGACCCATTCTCTTTAATATTTTTATTAGTGATATTGCAGAAGGTCTTGATGGTAAGGTATGTCTTTTGCTGATGATACTAAGATATGTAACAGGGTTGATGTTCCAGGAGGGATAAGCCAAATGGCAAATGATTTAGGTAAACTAGAAAAATGGTCAGAATTGTGTCAACTGACATTTAATGATAAGTGCAAGATAATGCATCTTGGACGTAAAAACCCAAGGGCAGAGTACAGAATATTTGATAGAGTCCTAACCTCAACATATGAGGAAAGGGATTTATGGGTGATTATTTCTGATGACTTAAAGGTAGGCAGACAGTGTAATAGAGCAGCAGGAAATGCTAGCAGAATGCTTGGTTGTACAGGGAGAGGTATTAGCAGTAGAAAGAGGGAAGTGCTCATGCCATTGTACAGAACACTGGTAAGACCTCACTTGGAGTATTGTACACAGTACTGGAGACCGTATCTTCAGAAGGATATTGATACTTTAGAGAGGGTTCAGAGAAGGGCTACTAAACTGGTTCATGGATTGCGTGATAAAACTTACCAGGAAAGGTTAAAGGATCTTAACATGTATAGTTTGGAGGAAAGACGAGACAGGGGGGATATGATAGAAACATTTAAATATATAAAGGGAATCAACACAGTAAAGGAGGAGACTATATTTAAAAGAAGAAAAAACTACCACAACAAGAGGACATAGTCTTAAATTAGAGGGACAAAGGTTTAAAAAATAATATCAGGAAGTATTACTTTACTGAGAGGGTAGTGGATGCATGGAATAGCCTTCCAGCTGAAGTGGTAGAGGTTAACACAGTAAAGGAGTTTAAGCATGCGTGGGATAGGCATAAGGCTATCCTAACCATAAGATAAGGCTAGGGACTAATTAAAGTATTTCGAAAATTGGGCAGACTAGATGGGCCGAATGGTTCTTATCTGCCATCACGTTCTATGTTTCTACTGGAAACAGCCGAACAGGAAAAGCATACAATCAGCTTACACTCCTGGCAATCAGCATACAATCCAATTCCCCCAATAACGAGACGACACTTCGTTTTGAGGGTTAAGCAGAACTGATTTACTGGGGCTACCTGCCTGGCTTTTATGCAGGTCTCCCACCTGGTGGACACTCCTCTAGGGGACCAGGTGGAAGACTGGGAAACATATTGAACATTGACCAATCACAAGCTTACAATCCCACAATGCATCACAATCCTTCCTCTCTGTCCTGGAGATAATTGGGAAGTAATCCAATTATCTCCAAGGACAGAGGCAAAACTCCATTAACCACATGGCAGACAAAGGACAATAAAAGACATAAAATTACATACAGTTACATTTATCACATAGAACATACACATTCTACCTATCCCAAGATAGCCTAGATCTGAGCGCACATTATTACCGAATGGCGCTCAGATCACATACATACAGTTCAATCGCCATGGAGCCAAAGTCTTTCATACAGTCTTTCAGTATACGGCTGGGCTCCATGGCATAGCTATCTGGGGTAGCATGGCTTTAACAGTCCGCAGAAAGGCACGAATACGCTTTTCTGCAGGGAAAAATAAAAGTTTAAAATGCAGGGCCATAGTCTAAAGGGAGCAGGCGAGCAACCAGGCTCCTCCAGTGGACAGTGGTGAGGCTGGTTTTGCCACAAAGGCCATGTTTGGCCCTGAATAAACCAGTTGACTCCCAGAACTGTGTGTCGTCCGGTTACTGAAGGAGTGGAATATATCTGCTAAACACTGCTTCTTTTCCATCTTTCTGAGAACACCAGTGGAGATTTGGGATTTTATTGTTGCAGCTCCGCTACAGTTGGTGGCAAAAGTGGGATACAGACCCACAGTGGAAGGAAGCCACCGTAAGGTGGATATTTATATGCAAATGGAGACAAATTACTCCGTTCTCAAACAAACAACTTTAAAGGAACTGTTGGAAGCAAGGGGTAAGGTAGCCAGCAACAAAGCAAAAGGCTACCCTTATTGCCGAATTAATGGAGGTGGATCGAGCCAGCAGCAATGGCTCTACCAGCAATGTTTGAGACAGAGTTTGAGAGGGAAGTAAGGACAAGCCTGGCATTTTACAGTGGAACCCTATCAGAAGAAACAGTTACCCGTGTTGTAACGGACCCTCTGTCAATCGATGCTCCTAGTGCTTACCAAGGACCATCGGCACTGCACTGGACACCATAACCACTGCAGACTTCATGAACTGCCGTAACTTGGTTGGAGTCTCGTCGTCTCCTTCCCACCCTGGTCCAACCTCTGGATCCAGGACCATGTGGGAAGGACCTCTCCTCCAGGAGAATATAGCTGAAGAGAGCTCTTACAGGAGCTAGCAGTGATATAGCAGTTATAGCTGTTCCCTACAACACGAGACGAGGCTGCAAGTTGAGGGAAGGTCTGGTTTATTGAACAACTTGCATTTCTTTTATACAGATTTTCAGGCCAGGTGCACACCCCCTGGACCTGATGGAACACAGGGACATAAACCAATGGGTACAATAATTATGACTGCAACACTCCCACATACAGTCAGCAAGCCCTCCCCTCTGCCTGTGATATAATTAAGATAGCTAATGGAATAACTTAATTATCCACAGGCAGAAAATACCCAGTTTTACCCAAAGTGCAGAAACACCCCAAAACTCCAACATATCCCCACAATTCCTACATCCCTGATCTGGGCGAACAACATATCCAAACATCACCCAGATCAGAGCAGGGGTTCAAAAGTTTTATGGAAGTCTCTTTTGACCGACCGCACGCACGATTTCATGCCGAAAACAGTTCCGGAGAATTTGTCTGTGCGGCCGGTTTATTTCCAATAGTTCAAATACTGTTTTAATAGTCGAACGGGAACCGTTCGTGCACCTAGTCAAAGTTAAAGTGTTGTTCGTATTGTCGAACACCGTTTGACTCCCGAAGAGTCGAAGTTCCAGAGACGGTAAAGTTCAGCGGTGTTCATGCCGTCGCGTGTCCGATTTGAGTTCCATGAATAGTTATTCTTTAAAATAATACTGATACCTTCCAGAATAAAATCAATTTGTGTATCAGGGATTCTTCCTTCTCTGGTTAGGATATCCTATGTCTTGAGGTATAATTGTATATAGTGAATGGACATCACATGTCACCAATATAAAATTAGATTTACATGTAAAAATTATTTAAAGACTTTAAAAGAGCCATGGAATCTTGAAGGTAAGAGCTCATTCATTTAACTGAAGGCTGTAAGAGGATATCTATATATTGAGAGAGATAAAATAAGCCTTGTTTTTTTATGCTCATTTATATTATGTAGTTTATAATGCTCAGTACAATATATGTATGTATAATTTTATCAGTTATTTTACTGTTTTAACTATTTTATTTCTATTTCAATTCTGATTGGCTGCTCACATTTTGGCGCCAATTTCAAATGATTATAGCTGTTATATAAACTCTTTGATGCCAGGTATCAGGTTCTTACTCCATATTGATAACGCTGTGTTGGCGAAACGCGTTTATGGATATTATTTTGTGTATTTTTATATATTAAAGTATATTTGGTTACTTTTTATTTGTGCCATTTATCTTTTTATACACATCTATTTTATTTTGTGACCTGGCATCTTCTCCACATCCCGGACTCCAAGCAATCCTAGGTGGGGATTATACAACCAACGCTTACGTTTAGGAGCAGTTGTTCTGCTCCCGTCTTGTGAGTACCCATTTTATTTTATCAATATTTTACTCAGTGTACACTATTAGCTGTTTCTCTTTATTGTATTGAACACACCATTGACGGAGGAAGCTCACCATATATCCCATAAGCGGGGATTAAACCGATGTATGCCCTTCATACCGGAGCAAGTCTTACGCTCTGATAAATGTGAGTTTTATTTCAGCCTTTTATTATTCTTAACATTTTATTCTGAAGCATATTGCACTATTTGGGTCTCTACTTTTTTATTTTATATACACCAACGGACCCATACGGAGGACAACTTAAAGCACTATCGTTCTGGATCAAGCACGAATAGACTCTACAGGGAGTGCAGAATTATTAGGCAAATGAGTATTTTGACCACATCATCCTCTTTATGCATGTTGTCTTACTCCAAGCTGTATAGGCTCGAAAGCCTACTACCAATTAAGCATATTAGGTGATGTGCATCTCTGTAATGAGAAGGGGTGTGGTCTAATGACATCAACACCCTATATCAGGTGTGCATAATTATTAGGCAACTTCCTTTCCTTTGGCAAAATGGGTCAAAAGAAGGACTTGACAGGCTCAGAAAAGTCAAAATAGTGAGATATCTTGCAGAGGGATGCAGCACTCTTAAAATTGCAAAGCTTCTGAAGCGTGATCATCGAACAATCAAGCGTTTCATTCAAAATAGTCAACAGGGTCGCAAGAAGCGTGTGGAAAAACCAAGGCGCAAAATAACTGCCCATGAACTGAGAAAAGTCAAGCGTGCAGCTGCCACGATGCCACTTGCCACCAGTTTGGCCATATTTCAGAGCTGCAACATCACTGGAGTGCCCAAAAGCACAAGGTGTGCAATACTCAGAGACATGGCCAAGGTAAGAAAGGCTGAAAGACGACCACCACTGAACAAGACACACAAGCTGAAACGTCAAGACTGGGCCAAGAAATATCTCAAGGCTGATTTTTCTAAGGTTTTATGGACTGATGAAATGAGAGTGAGTCTTGATGGGCCAGATGGATGGGCCCGTGGCTGGATTGGTAAAGGGCAGAGAGCTCCAGTCCGACTCAGACGCCAGCAAGGTGGAGGTGGAGTACTGGTTTGGGCTGGTATCATCAAAGATGAGCTTGTGGGGCCTTTTCGGGTTGAGGATGGAGTCAAGCTCAACTCCCAGTCCTACTGCCAGTTCCTGGAAGACACCTTCTTCAAGCAGTGGTACAGGAAGAAGTCTGCATCCTTCAAGAAAAACATGATTTTCATGCAGGACAATGCTCCATCACACGCGTCCAAGTACTCCACAGCGTGGCTGGCAAGAAAGGGTATAAAAGAAGAAAATCTAATGACATGGCCTCCTTGTTCACCTGAT